CTGAGCTGTCAGCACAGAGCCTGATGTAGGGTTTGAACCCATCAGCTGTGAGAAAATGACCTGAGCTGAAGTCTGACACTTACCCAACTGAGCCACCCAGGAGCCCCAAAATTCCATTATTTTCTTAGAGGCTCTTTTGTTAACTGAAGAAAATTTCAAAAACATATTTCTAGCATCATTAAAAATTTTTTAAGCTTATTTATTTATTTCTGAGAGAGACAGAGGGAGTGTGAGTGGGGGAGGGGCAGAGAAAGAGGGAAAATCAAGCAGGCTCTGCCCCATCTACACAGAGCCCAACTTGGGGCTCAATCTCATGAACCGTGAGATCATGACCTGAGCCAAAATCAGGAGTCAGACACCTAACCGACTGAGCCACCCAGGAGCCCCATCATTAGATATTTTGTAGCTGACATAATTGTATGCCTTTAATCATCATCATCTTATAGATTTTTAAATACCTTTGTTCCTTTTCCAACACCCATGTTTTCAGAACATAGCTATTAAGCACCTATTATGTGCCTAGAACTGTGCTGGGGACTGGGAGAATGAGACAGAGATTGTCCCTGCCCTCAGAGTTTCTTATGGTCTGTTGAGAAGCCAAACACTTAACCAGACATCTGCACCCACCCCACCCCCCATTAATCAGTGTGCTCTGATGGGGGAGGCATTCGTAAATAAGACCATGATGAGATACATAAAGTGCAGAAATACTCTAATAATCAAGTTTATCTCTTTGTGTAAATATTCAATACTTATTTAACGGGCTAGCTTAAATAAAAACTCAAGCTCTTTGGGGCTGCTGGATGGCTAAGTTGGTTAAGTGTTCTACTTTGGCTCAAGTCAAGATCTCATGGTTCATGAGTTTGACGCCCACAATGGGTTCTCTACTGTCAGCACAAAGCCCTTTTCCAGATCCTCTGTCTCCCTCTCTCTCTGTCCCTCCCCCACTTGGGTGCTCTCTCTCTCTCCCTCTCTCTCTGTCTCTCTGTCTCTCTCTGTCTCTCTCTCTCTTTCTTTCAAAAATAAATAAACTTTTTTTTTTAAAGCTCTTTTCCTGCATTAGAAGGCATGAAGGAAGCTATTATTATTCAAGCCCATATTGTTACTGGGACATGCATCTTTTGGGGAGAGGATCTAGCCCCACCCCAACCCCAATCTACTTAGAAAATCAATTACTCTAACCATATACCTCTTGGAGGGATGGTCTGGTAAATTTTTCTATCTCCTTGCATTTCTACTGATGTTTCAATTGCTTCCCTAGTCATCCCTTAATTCTGGTGTTCTGAGTAACTACTGCTGTATAACATATCATTCCAAAACAGTGGCTTAAAACAAGTACATGCTATTGGTTGAATTATGTCCCCAACAAAGATATGTTGAAGTCCTAACCCTCAATATTTCAGCATGCGATCTTCTTTGAGAAATAGCATCATTGCACATGTAACTAGTTAAGAGGACATCGTACTGAGATAAGGTGGGTCGCTAATCCAATATAACTGGTGTCCTTATAGAAAGTGGGAAATCTGGACACAGAGACACAGGGAGAACCCAACACAAAGATGGAGGCAGAGATTGGTGTGATGTATCTATAAGCCAAGGAATGCCAAGCTTTGCTTACAATCACCAGAGCTAGGAGAGAGGCATGGAACAGATTCTCCCTCAGAGCACTGGGAACCAATGCTGCCAACACCTTGATTTGGGACTCTAGCCCCCAAAACTGTGAGAGAGTAAATTTCTGGCTTTGTACCTAGTTTGTGGTCATTTGTAACCTAGGCAGCCCTAGCAAATTCATACATGATCCTTTATTCTGAGCATGAATCTAAAGGCTGCCTGGACCCCAGGCCGCTCCCACTCTGGGTCTGTCCTGCATTGGTGGCTGGGGCTGTGCTCGCTCATCTCAAAGGCTCCTCAGGCACATGTCTGACACCTGGGCTGGGAAGACTTGAACAGCTGGGGCTGGATGCATTGGGGCCCCCGGGCATTTCTCTCTCTCCATTTCTCTCACCTGGCAGCCTCGGGGGGATGGACTTCTTACAGGGCAGCTGACAGTTCCCAGAGCAAGTTTCCAAGAGAGAATCTGGGAGAAGCTAGCAGGCCTTTTCTAACCAGCCTTGGAAGTCATAGAGCATCACTTCTGCTATGTTGTATTCATAGAGGCCCCCCTATGTCCAAGCAAGGGGCAAGAACTCTACATCCTGATGAGAGGAGCGTGTAAGTATTCATGGACACGTTTTCAAATCTGCACACCAGCTCGGTCAGGGGACATCTGACCTGAGGGATGGGGGAAGGCTCCCTAGAGACAGTAACGTGCCTGAATTCCTAGGCATGAGGAGTTAGCCAGGGAGCAAGGAGAGGAGCCACTCCCCTCCTCCCCCTGCCCTGAGCCTCCCAGCTGATGCGGGAATCCTGTCCCCTTCCATTCTCACTACAGCCCCCAAGCCCAATGAAACCCTAGGCTCACTCACTCAATTGAGCCAGGCCCTGCACATCCAGACTCTGCCCAGATAACCACCCAAGGCAAAGGTCAGTCCGGGCTCCTCTCTCCCACCAACCAAAGAGGTGGAGGGCAAACTGAGGTCCTTACGTGCCTGACAGAGACCCTTCCTTTTCTGTTCATTTCTGTCCCTCCTTCCCCACTGCTCTGGGGCAGACAGCAGGCCCCTCAGAGAGACTCCCACACATACTATAAGCCCCAAGGTTTGGCATCTCAGCCTTAGGGTCTGGTGCAGCTACTCCCCCCATGTAACCCCTTCTGTGGCTCCCAATTCTCTCCTTGTACTGAGTCTTTACAAATCTGCTCCCTACCCCTCCCCCAGCCCATTCCACTGATAAGGAGATGAAAGCATCTCTGGCTATGTTGTTAGTCTGCCAAGGCCACTTTTCTGTGAAGGGCAACATCCAGGTGTCTCATCACCTGGAAGCGCCTAATCTGGGACAGTGAGGGGGCGGGGGGTGTACACACACACACAGACAAACACACACACACGTGCGCGCACTCCCTTTTTCCCCACCAGGCCTCAGATCTCCGGAGGAGGCTGAACAAAGGTTTGTCCAAGGTCACATCCTCCTCCTCCTCTCCGATCCTGCCTCCACCCTCAGAGCAGCAACCAAGACCATCAGACCAGTGTGTGCAGGGCAGGAGTGCCCATTTGTTGAGTATCTGCTACAGTTCAGCCCTGCGCCCTCTGTCCCTGCCAACCCCCTTACTAGTCTACTCAATCACAGGATGAAGAAGCCGAAGCTGGGTCTGTGCCTGAGCTGAGATTCATTGTCATGTCCGTCTGAACATTGTTCTCTAAAACTAGATCCTTCACTTCTCGCTTCCTCCTACCCTCCTCCTCTTTACCTCTCCCTCTCTCTTCCTCTTCTTCCCTACCTCTGTCCATCTGTCTATCTGTCTCTAAGCTCCTTCTCTCTCTCCTTTGCTGTAATCCCCCACAAGAGTCTAGGGCTGTTTAGAAGCTAGAATTATCTCCAAGATGGATTTGACCTTCTATTCAGTCTTTCGTACCAGAATCTGTGAACAGTGGGCTATCTGCTGCCTCCTTGCCCCCCCCCGCCAAGGGACCTTTCTCAGGTCTTTAAGCTGAGACCCAAGGTGGGTTGGGTGGGGGAAGGAACGACTAAAGACCAGAATGGTAAGGGAGATAGATCATTCCCAGTGGTCAGGCTACAGTAGGACACATACAGCCGAGGAGACAGGAATTAAGTCTTTATCAGTAATCAAAGTTCCTCCCAACCTGAAAGCTCCAGCCCAAAAGAGTGCTACCACTTGAAACCTATGTGACCTCTGTTATGTCACTTAACCTCTCTGAGCTAATAGTAACCCCTAATTTAAAGGACTGTTATAACGATTTAGTGTTGATTTCTTTAGAATGCTTTGGGCTACAAATAACAGAAAAGTCAACCAAGACTTCCTTGAGTGGGGCGCCTGGGTGGCTCAGACAGTTGAGCATCTGACTTCGACTCAGGTCCTGATCTCATGGCTCATAAGTTCGAGCCCTTCATTGGGCTCTGTGCTGACAGCTCAGAGCCTGGAGCCTGCTTCAGATTCTGTGTCTCCCTCTCTCTCTGCCCCTCCTCAACCCCCTCTCAAAAATAAATAAACATTAAACATTTTTTTTTAAAAAAAGACTTCCTTGAGCAATAAAGATAGTTAATTCTTTCAAACACTGAGATCTGAGAGGTAGGTGCTTTCAGGTTTTGTGCAATGATTCAGAAATTCCATCAAAAACAAGTTTCTTTCTACATTTCTGTTCACTGTCCTTACCTTGTTGTTGGCATTTCATACTGCTCCTCATGGTTGAACGTTAGCTGCTGCCACTCCAGACATCATGCACCACATTTAAAAAGTGGGGCGGGAGGGAGGATATTAATAATACAACACCCCTTCAGACAATGGATCCTAGTGCAGATGATCAAGGATCCCACCTTAAAAGATTCTGCCAATCTTTTGGCATGATCTCCCAATGAGAAACTCATTCTCAAGATACTTTTGCATCTTAAAGGTTCAGAGAAAAATGGTGACACCCCAATGGTAGGGCTCCACGCACATGTGAGGCTAGGTAGGGCAGGAGAAGGCTTCTTGGAGTCTCAGGTCATATCATAGACCTTCAGAGCTGGAAGAGACCAGAGATAGTCTCCCCCAACCCCAACCATACAAATGGGGAAACTGAGGCCCAGGGCAGAGAAGTGATTTCCTCATGGTCACACAGCAGAGCCAGGATCAGGAATAAGGATTCCTGGCTCTGATCCCCTCTTAGCATTCTGGGGCAAGTCCTCAGAAAGGAGGGCTTAGACCAGGAAACGCAGGTGTCTTAGGTGGGCTCCCCAGAAGCAGAGCCTGAATCGGGGATCCCTATTCAGATGGTTCACTGGGAGAGGCTCTGAGAAAGGGAGTGAGGGCACGCATAACAGGGGAAGGTAAAAGCTAAGTCTAGCCGCAGCCTGTTCCCACTGAGGGTCCTGGAGCATGATCAGCATCACAGAGTTAGTCCTACCTTGAGGTCTGGGGGCGCCTGTTGTACCACCACATCCGCCAGCCACTGGTCGCAGCCCGCCCAGCTGGTGCAGCCTTCGGGGTGGGGCAGCTCTCCTCCCTCCGGTGAAGGGGCAGCTGTGAGCCACTAGCAGCAACTCTCCGGCAGCTGGGGGAATGCACACACCAGCAGGTTAGAAGCTAAACAAGCAAGTGTCCTCTCAGAGCCCTAAGCCATTCCTGGCAATCCCAGCCACAGAGCACGGTGTACCAGAGAACAGGCCTGTCCCCTCTGCAACGTCAGTTTCCCCGTTCATAAAATGGGCATGCAGGACCAAGGGACTGCCAGACTCCTTTCCAGCTCTTCCTTCCCAGCTTCTTTGATGCTACTTCCTCCTCACCCCAAAGTTCCAACCGGGCAACCCCAGCTCCCAGACTGGCCACTTGCCCGGGCAGTGGAAGGATCAGTGAGAGCAAAGCAGGGTCTCCACTCAATCAGTCTTGAACCCCACGAGGCTGGCAGAGGCAACAGTTTCTTGGCATGTGTACGTCTCCAGCCTGCTGAGCAGGCCTGGGGAGTCAGTATTTCTTGAAATGTAAGTACCGAGACCACACTGGGTTGTCAGTAAATTCATTATCCCATTACGCAGACCTGAATTATTCAGCGCTCTTGAGGCCGCCTCAGGAACGTGCCCGAGCGCAGTCGATGCCGGCATTAGTGGGATGGATGGAGTCAGGCCCAGGGCATGGTTGGTGCCAGGATGATGGATCTGGGCCCAGAGAAGCTGCCGGGCACAAGGGAGTGTCTGACTAGCAGGTCCTGGGCCCTGGGTGTTTCTGGGGCCTAGGAAGTGGATAATGCACACATCCACCACTCCCCTCATCCCCCAGGAAATTGGCAGAGTGTGTTTTTGGAGCCCCATCTGCTCCACAGGGCCCAGGGACAGAAGATCCAGACTTCACCTTTTCCTGGCTGTGTGACCTCCAGGAGGCTGTTTGCCTCTCTGAGTCTCAGTTTCTTTATCTGTAAAATGCAGCTAAATGATGTTCCCAGTATCCATTCTCCCACTTAAGTTTAACTATAGAACTGATTTTTCTCTGAGCATATAACGCTCTAGAATAAAGGTTATTTCTAGACTGAAGTGTGGCCATATGACTAAGTGCTGATCAAAGGAATGTAAGTAGAAGGATCCAGTGAAACTTTCAGGAGGTGTCCTCAAAGGAAAGGGGAGAGTCCTGTTTTGTCTCTTTCGTTTTGCTGAAAACTAGGATGAAGGTGTGATGGCTGGAGCTCACGCAGCCATCTTGCTCAGAGAGGAGAAGCCACATGATGAGGATAGCAGCACAACATAGTACAAGCCTAAGTCCATGTTGGCCCTGGAGCCTCCTTATCACCTCCATCTCTATAAAATAGAGATCAAACTCTCTCTTGCTTAAGTTGCTATTCTTTTGGATTTTTCTGTCACTCCCAGCCAAACCCAACCTACCTTGTTGGGCAAGTCTGAGGGTGAAATGAGACGTTACAGGAAAAGCAGCCACCTCAGTAGGCATTTCCTCTAGGACACTTCAGTGATTAAGAACTGTAAGCCCTGAAACCTTAGGATCAAATCCCAACTCTATCGCTTATAAGCTGTGCAACTTTGGGCAAGTTGCTTAACCTCTCTGTGCTTCAGTTTTCTCATCTGCAAGACAGAGATAAAAATTACACCTTCCCCCTCACAGGGTTAATGTGGACTAAGTGAGTCAATATGAAGTTACAAAAAGTAGCTGACACACAGCAAGTGCTGTATAAGAATCGGCAGTTAGTATCCCATTTTTACCTTTCTAGGGGGATTCCATACATAGCTCAGGGACCTACGTTCCAATAACATCTCCCAAAGCTTCATCTCAGTTTGGTTTTTCCCCTGAAGGTGATTGTGCTCTCAGGGCAACGATGCCAATGGCATTCTGAGTTTCAGCCATGACACCAATAGCTTTGCCTCGAGGGAGAGGACCCCGGTCTGAGCCAGTAGAAGTGGGTGGCAGAGACTGGGCTCCTGGTGTGGACCCCAAAAGAGGGTTTTCTCTCCAGGATGCCTATGAAGTACTCAGGAAGAGAGAAAGAGAAATAAAGACCCCTTACTGGTTATGTATCCTGCACAGATATCCCTTCCTTCTGGGCCTCCGGGGAGTGTATTAAATCAGAGGTCACAGCTCATGTGCCAGCAGGACAGAAGACCAATATGAAATATGAGTGAAATGTGTCAGGTCTGAGGCAGCAGGGAGCAGTGGAGACCAGGACAAGAGCACATGACCCAGGGGGGCAGGCATCACACAGAGCCAGCTAACCTGCCAGGCTGCACAATGGGCCTGCTGCTGTCAAATCTTCCTTTCCTTTTTTTTTTTTTTTTTTTTTTTTTAAGTTTATTTTGAGAGAGACAGAGAAAGAGAGCAAGCAGGGGAGGGGCAGAGAGAGAGGGAGAGTGAGAATCCCAAGCAGGCTCTGCACCATCAGCACAGAGCCCAATGCAGGGCTCACTCGAACCTGTGAACTCTGAGATCATGACCTGAGCTGAAAGCAAGAGTCGGACACTTAACTGATTGTGCCACCCAGACACCAAAATCTTCCTTTTCAAAAGGAATGGAAATCAAATCTGAATTCTTTGTGAAATTTTCCGATCCTTTACTGTTAGCTCCATTCAAACAAACAAAACACTGATAAAGGCAAACAAAATATGTCCCCGGGCCAGCTTCAGGCCACCAGATGTAAAACAAGTGCTGAGAGGTGTGCTATGTGACACAGTCTGAATTCTGGAGTCCCAGGATATATTTCACGGCGTATGTGACGGATCAGCTTGTGCTGAGCCTGGGCGGGCAGCACGGAGGAAAGACAGATGCTGGGAGTTTTCCCTCCCAGGGAAGCAGGTGCCGTGGGCTGGACCGGGGTTCAGGATGGCAGGGAGCGCGGGCAGAGGCTCACGCCTACTACCTCAGGTAACACTCTGGCCCCCAGAGCTTCACGTCCTTCCTCTAAGAAACAGATTAGGGAGTCCAGTTTCGGCCCCCTGGCACAACCCTGGCCCACCTGCCCTGCTGAGGCCCTGCCCAATCCACAGCCTCTGCACCCACAACTTTGGGGACCCCCTCGGGGCCTGTGTTGGCTTGGACTGCTGATCCTGCCTCTTCAGTCTGCCATCCGTAATGGGGTTGCACGCCCACACCCTTCTCCACGTGACTTCTCCACTGAGGGGGTAGACTACACATGTGCCTGTACTCAGCCTGGCCAAGTGACTTGCTGTGGACACTGCAACATCAGCAGCCCTGACTGAGGCAGAGGCTTTAGAACCACTTGGGTGCTTGGCCTCTTGCTCCTGTGCGCTGGTCTCAGAATGATCTGAACCCACCACCTGAATGAAGCACCCCAGCTGACCTGCCGACCCAGGAGAGAAAAGTGCATGGTTATTTTGGAAGCCACTGACACTTGGGACTGTTACACAGCACTTTTGCAGCAGAAGCCTGACTATTATGTTGGGAAGACAGGGGCTTCCCCCACCCATCCCCAGCTCACTGCACAAAATCTCTCGCCCTGTCTGGTCATCGTCACAGAAGTCCCTGTGCCCCTCCCTCCGAGGCAAATACAGAGACTCCCTCTGGAGGGGGAAGTCCCCCAAGTTGTGGGCTGTGAGACCTTGGATGAGCTACTTCCCCTAAGAGTCACCTGTAGGGTGTGGGTGACATGCCTACCTCACCAGGGATTGGGAGGTGTCCATGGGATGCCTCGGGTCTGAGGGGCACAGGGGTGGGAGGAAGTACCCAGGGCTGCTATTTGGACTTGTCAGGAAGGGGAGGAACTTGGCCTGCCTCAAGGGATGGGGCGTCTCCTGTGAGAAAGCTCACCCCTGAGGTAAATGGGGCCTCACTTTTGCAGGGTGTGATTTTGAGTACAGTGGGGAATCTGACACTCTAGCCTGAAGAAAAAGTAAACAGGGTTATCTCAGGACCCACTCCAAACCACTCCTGTGGGAACAGGCCACATTGTTTGTATCAGGAATGCTTTCGAGCTTCCAGTAAAAGAACATGCAACTAATCGTTGCTTTTTTTTAAAACTTTTTTTTTAACATTTATTTATTTTTGAGAGACAGAGAGAAACAGAGCATGAGTGGGGAAGGGGCAGAGAGAGAAGGAGACAGAGAATCTGAAGCAGGTTCCAGGCTCTGAGCTGTCAGCACAGAGCCCAATGTGGGGCTCGAACTCACGAACCGCGAGATCATGACCTGAGCCGAAGTCGGACTCTCAACCGACTGAGCCACCCAGGCGCCCCCGAATCATTGCTTAAATACAAAGGGTTCCACTTCCTTATGTAACAAGGAGTCTGAAGGAAAACAGTTGCTGGTGTTGGTTCAATGGCTAGATAAGGTCTTCAAGGACCAACCATCATTCCTCTTGCCATCTTTACTGTTTGTTTGGGCTTTTTAATCCCGAACATTATTGCCTCACAACCACAAGAGGGCTGCTATGGTTCCAAGCATTTCATTTTTACACAACCCCACTCAAGGTAAGAAGAAGCTAAACAAAAAAAAAAAAAAAAAAAAAAAGGAGGAAAAAGTCCTGAGACGCACCCCTTTATCTCTGGCTGGAAAAGAGCTACAGGTGAGGATGAGACAGCAGGTATCTTCAAAAAAGGACTGGGATGGTCATGCCAGTCTGAGACCCATCACGGTGCACCCCCCAGAGTTGGGCATGCTGCCTGAACAACATGAGCTCCTGCAGGCAACAAAGAAAGACGCAGACAGTAGACTAGGTTGACATTAACAGTGTCTGTTGGAGGTGGAAGAATCTTCCCCACAGAAGAGAGTGTACCAGGCAGGACTCTTAACTGCAAATCTCACAAGCTGCTCTGTGACAAACAGCAGATTTCACTTTGTTGCAAACAACAGAATCCACTTGGCTGCAGATAAACTCCATTGTGTTGCAAACAGCAGACTGGCGGGCCCAGAGAACCGGGCTTGGGTGCTACACAGCCAGGAACTCCACCTCCGGAAGCTCCACCCACTCACTTCCTGGGACTCTTCTAGTTAGAACACAGCTCCCGCCACAGCCCACCTGTGGGAAGGGGCTCCACCAAACCACCCAGCAGAGCGGGAACATCCACGTCTGTCACATTTGCTTGCCAGGGCATCAATCTCCACACAGCCAACGCACGCCGCCCACACTGGCATTCGGGACCCGTGCAGCACCTCTGATAGGTGGAAGCAAGGTCACATGAGAAGTCTGTATGCTTGTCTTCTTTTTGGGAAGGAAGGACCCACAACATAGGCCAGTGTCTCAACGTGGAGAGGTAAGAGCTGCAAGGAGACGCTCTCCACCCGTTCTCGGAAGGGCCCCATGAAGTCTTGGCCATTTGAAGCCTCCTGAGGATCAGCCAAGATGCCCCACAGAAGCAGTGACGCCCAGGAGTCACCATGGCAGCCCTGGCCATCCCGTCAAAAAAGGAGGAAACTGGGGCACCTGGGTGGCTCAGTCAGTTAAGCGTCTGAGTGTGGCTCAGGTCATGATCTCCCCGTTCCCGAGTTCGGGTCCCACGTCAGCCTCTGTGCTGACAGCTTCGAGCCTGGAGCCTGTTTCAGATTCTCTCTGCCCCTCCCCCATTCGTGTCTGTCTCTCTCTCTCAAAAACAAACATTAAAAAAAAATTTTTTTTTTAACATTTAAAAAAACAGGAGGAAAGAAACAGATGACATCATGAGACACACACCAAGGTCATCGGGGATTGTGGCAGACAGAATTTTGCCCCCATGATCTCTATGACCTCCACCATCAGTGCGAATCCTGTGGTTCTTATCTTAAATGGCAAGGGGACTTTGCAGATGTGACTAAGGTTACTAACCAGGTCACGTTAAAATAAGGACATTACCTGAGATTATCTGGGTGGGCCCAACGTAAGCACAGGAGCACTTAAAGGCAGAAGAGAAAGGCAAAGTGATTTGAAGCACCAAAAAGATCCAAGATGTCTTTGCTGGCCTTGACATAGGAGCTGCACGAGAAGGAACTGAAATCCACCAACAACCAGTGGGCTGAGAAAAGAGCCGGGGGGGCCCGGCAGAACCGCAGCCCCAGCAACACTGTGACGTCAGCGTGGCGAGACCCCAAGCAGAGAATGCAGCCATACCTTGACAGCTTCTGCCCTACAGGACTGTGAAATGATAAATGGGGGCTGTTTAAAGCCCGCACGTTTGTGGGTGCTCAGTACACAGCGAGAGAGGTAGAGAAGTATCACCCTCATTGTCTAGCTGAGAAACTCTGAACTCACAGCCACGGAGCTATGGGACCAATGACAGACCCCAAGTCCACCTGATCCTAGAGCCCGTGCTGTCGCTTTCCCACTGGGCCTGTCCAGACAAGGAAGCCGGGGCACAGGAGGCCGTGGCATTGCCAGGTCTGTAGCATCTCAGCACAGAGGAGGCAGGAGCAGGCAGTGGGGCTCCATCGTCCCCACCTCATCTGAGAAGCCCCAGAAGCCCCTAACTCATGGTCTCTCTGATTCCATCCGTTCGGCCTGAAACACCCCTAGAGCCTTGGAGTCCGGGCATTGCCCCCGCCCACACCCCCAAAGTCATAGGTGAACAGGTGCCATCCTCCCTGGGGAGCTTGGCAAACCTCACCCAGATGCGGTCAGACTTCAGGCTGCAAATTTCTGCATGGAGAGGCCTACAGAAGGCAAGACCTGGACAGAGGCTCCAAGGTGCCCCTGGCAGCCCACAGCTACTGGGGAAGAGCCCACTGAGCGTGGGAAGCGGATGGAGAGCCCAAAGGTAGGGAAAGGATTCCTGAGGTGGGGGCAGGGCAGAGGCGTCAGCTGGCCCCACCAGACTCCACCTCCACGTCTCAGCTCCTCTGATACATGCTCCCAGTCGGAGGAAACGGTGGTCCCAGGGGCCAGATCAAACCCAGACATCAAAGATGTATTCAGTTCGGCTGAAGCAATGCTTAAAAAAAAACAAAAGTCTAATCCAAATGCTTAAAATGGTGAGGTTTCACATTACAAGCCAGATTTCAACCCTTCTTGAGAACTCACAAGCTCTGGCCACACTGCATCCATCTTCCCACATGGCGGCATAGGCGGCCAAGTGGCTGCCAGGCCTTTGGACGGGACATGAGCTCTGCAGTGCCCCAGTCCGCACTGCCCCCTACTGCTTCCCCTCACCTACCTGTGCAGCCCCTGAACACTTCCATCTTCCAATTGCTTAGGCCTGACCTGACTCCACAACCCTACGTTTCTGCCCCTACCCTGCCCTGCACAGTCCTGGGGAGCCCCTGGGAGAGAGGATCCAACCCATGTGATGTCAGCAGTTCAGAAGTAGAAGCTGGGGGTGTCATGATAGAAATTCAGGGGCCTCTTCCAGACCCGTTGTTGTGGAAAGCTGTTTCCAGGGCCCTGATTTGGCTAAGAATTGGTCAGGGGTCAATTCTCACTTCCTGGTATGGACCTAAAGGCATGAAGAGGCACCCACTTTCTCTGCCCTTACCAGCCTGAGAGTTCCTGGGTGCCTAGTGGGGCATTTGACCTGCATGGGACCGAAAGGGCAACCCAGAGAGGTAGAAATGGTGTTCCCCCTGCCCAGCCCCTCATGGCCCTGGGAGCAGCTGCCCACATCCAGATGGCCCTTTGGGGAAGCCCAGCTCCCTCCTCCCCACCGCAGGGGCACCTCTGAGGAAAAGAAGCAACACTGACTTTGTTTTCAGCCTCCTGCAAAAGGCTCTGTAGGATTCCAAGGCAACACTTTGCGCCCTTCATTGTGAGCTGAGACGCCCCGGTGCTGCAATGCAAGAGACAAGAAATGAGTAGCAAACGGGGGAGGGAGGTGGAAAAATTAAATTTTGCGTGATCAGCAAGGTTTCAAACAATCGCTCGCCAACTGAAGTGGGTGCCACGTCTATAAGTCATTCTGTTTTATAGACCATTAGGATCTCCAGAGAGAGCCTGCATGGAGACCACTGCTTTTTGTTGAAATTAAAATGTCAGAGAAAAAGAAATAGAACAAAACAGGGAATCTGCAATTAATTACCAGGCCATAAAAATTCAATAATCAGGAGGCAGAGCGGCCGCGGGCCCAGAGGTATCAGAGCCAGCGTAACAAGAATGGAATACATTAATCTTTTCAAATTAGTTTTTTAATCTGACGGGGATATATGGTGACATGCCTCCCCTCCCTGCCGGCTCCCCGCCTTCCCCCCCCCCCGGCGGGGGGGGGGGGGTCCCCCCCCCCCCCCCCCCGGGGGGCCCCCCCCCTCCCCCCCCCCCCCCGGCCGGCTCCCCGCCTTCCCCCCCCCCGCCTCCGGGGCTCCCGCCGGAAGCCAGGCTTGGGGAGGGAGGCTCGGGCGTGAGCTGGGGGCCTGCCCAAATCCGGACTCCCAGACAAGGTAGAGCTGAGCCCAGGGCCCCCAGGCCGGTGGCCTGGTGGACAGAGCCCAGCACGGCTGCCAGGAAAGCACTTCCTGGGTGTCTGGATCTTGCTGGGTCTCAGCGCATGGAGTCAGTGAGGAGGGCACCTCTCTGAGCTTTGGTTTCCTCCTCGGGAAAATGGGAATAGTATGCCAGCCTCATAGGTAGGCTGCATTTAGAAGGCCTGGTATTCAGTGGAAGGCCCCTACGGTTACTGTGTTGACTGTCTAGACCCGCAGCTGCAGCAGCAAGGAGCGGGGTGCCGCTCCAGCACACTGCTCAGGCCGCACTTATGTATCATTTGCTGTGTGCTCAGCCCTGGGAGAGGAGAGACCAGCAGCCCTTACCCTGGGGATGAGGCTCAGAGTCTGGTCAGAGAAACATTTACTGGGGGCCAACCAGGATGCAGAGGATTCGAAGGCAAGGGGGCAGGTGCTTCCCAGCCAGCCGCACCCCCGCCCAGCCCAGGCACAGACAGCAGGCTCCACCCCGCGCCCGGGGTCAGTCCCGCCCTCTGCGTCTGACTGGAGGTCACGTCAGCGGCTCCTGGAGACTTGACCCGGAACTGAGCCCTCCTCCTGCAACGGCCTCCCAGCTGGGGTCAGGGCTGTGCTCCAAGTCTCTCCAGCTCGCTCCGATCTTCCTCGGCTTAGCCGATCTCACGGACCACCCCCTAAACCTCAACAAACCTGCCTCCGGGCCTCGGGGTCCGGGGGCCTCGCACCCGCTAAGCCTCCTCTGGGAAGCCCCCCGGTGAAGTTCCTGACTGGCCAGAGTGGGTACTAAATGGGCTGTTGGAGCACCTAGCCCGGGGGGGGGGGGGGGGGAGGTGACCTTGAGCGGCCGGATGACCCGCTGCCCTTTGGCCCTGGACTCCTTTTAAATGTAAGTTACAGCCCACCAAGTGCCGGCCCTGTGTAAATCCTTCACGTGGATTTTCTCGTTTCATCCCCTGGGAGGTGGCGACTGTGAATAACCCCATTTTGCAGAAGAGGAAATTGTGAAAGCAGAGCTGCTCCCCATTCTAGTGTGTGCTGTGGTCTCTGAATGCAGCGTCACTAGGAATACAAGCCACTGGCTTCTTTCGCCTTCCCCACTTTGTGTTACAGTAAGTGTTCCATCAATGCTCACTGGAGAGTGACCCTGCAGAACAGCCCTGCAAGGGGACCTCACCTGCCCTCCAATCACTCCCCTCCCCCAAATGTCTCCACTCCTGCCTCCACATGTCTCCACAGCTGCCATTTACTGGACACCTACTGTGTGCCAGGTTGTGGGATCTGGTGCTGTTTACCGTAAGACCGTGGTTCCTACTTCACACAAAATAAACAGGCTGAGAAAGAGGGACCCAAGAGCTCATACGTCTGTCTGGCACCCAACGGCGGGTTTCTAAGAACCTTGTCTCAGAGCCCCATCAACAAGACCTGCCTCTGGACTCTCAAGCCTCCCCTCCTGTGGTTTTTGTCCCCAAACCGGGTCCTTCAATCGGATACCCTCACTCACCTCCCACGGGAAACCTCCCCTAATTCTCTCAGTCCCTCTCGGAACTCCTGTAATTTCTATCACTTCATGCAAATTACTATCCTGTTACGCCAGCGGCCCAGCCACCCACCCACATATGCCCCAGGGTCCCAGCAGAAGCAGCAGCGATAATAAGAAGCACCCAGGAGGGGCATCAAATTTCTACCTCCCTGACCCAGGACCGTAGACCTCGAGGACCCGCACCGAAAGCCCAGACCCCAGATGCAGGGCTTGCGCCCCTTCCCGGGCGCAGTTCCAAGCGCAGCCACCAGATGGCGCCCGGCTCGCTCTAGCGGGGCTTGCAGTAAAGCTGTGCGGCCGCCAGATGGCGTTCGAGACCGCAGTTCTGCGGGCAGTACCGGGACAAGGCGGAGACTAGAAGGCAGGCGGGTCCCAGTGCGGGCGCAGAAGCCCAAGCCAAGTGACCTGGACGTCGCTCCCTCCTGGCCGCACCATGATCCAGCCCGCACCCCGGCTCTCTGTGCCCGCCGCGTTGGTCCTGGGCTCCGCCGCTCTGGGCGCCGCCTTCGCCACCGGCCTCTTCCTGGGTGAGTAAGGCGGGGCCTGCGGCACCTCCCGCAGAGCCCCCGCAGGCGGGGCAGGTGCGGGAGCGGAGCCCGTGACTCCGCGAGGCTGGCTGAGGCTGAAGCTCAGCCCTGGCGCCCCGGAGTCCCAGACCCTGACCCAGGACCCCTCCCCGTCAGGGAGACGGTGCCATCCGGAGCGATCCCGGCGAGAGAAGCGCCTGCTGCCCCCTGAAGACAGCCCCCTCTGGCAGTATCTGCTGAGCCGCTCCATGCGGGAGCATCCGGTGCTGCGGAGCCTACGGCTGGTCAGCAGGGCCAGGGGCGGGAACAGGCGCCCACTTCGGACCCAGCGGGCCCCACGTGCTTGTGTGACCTTGGGCTGGGCCTTGGAGCTCCCCGGGCTTCCGGGACACCGCAGGCGGGGCGCGGTGGGCGTTCCCTGAGGGCCAGTCCCCCTAGGCCACGCCCACAGCCGCGCACCTGGAGGGGGTGTGAACACGGGGCGGAGCTGGGTGACTGGCAGTGGTGGTGCGACCCTCTCCCCTCCACCACCGCGACACAGCTGACCCTGGAGCAGCCGCAGGGAGATTCCATGATGACCTGTGAGCAGGCCCAGCTTCTGGCCAACCTGGCACGACTCATCAAGGCGAAGAAGGCGCTGGACCTGGGTAGGGCGCACGGCTGGGACCACTGGGAGCCTAAGTCATCAAGATGTCCCCCATTCTGGCCTGAGCCTGTCCATGTCCCTGCCCACAGGCACTTTCACAGGCTACTCAGCCCTAGCGTTGGCCTTGGCGCTGCCCCCGGCCGGGCGCGTAATAACCTGCGAGGTGAACCCAGAGCCTCCGGAGCTGGGGCGGCCCCTGTGGAGGCAGGTGAGTGTCCCGCACATTTGAGGCCCTCGTCAGGCCCTTGGAGCCTGACCACTCCCAGCCCTAGGAGAAGGGACCTGCTGGCTGTGACCCCACTCTTTCTGCAGGCTGAGGAGGAACACAAGATCGACCTTCGGTTGAAGCCCGCCCTGGAGACCCTGGGTGAGCAACGGAGTAGAAGGGGCCTTGGCACCATTTTCTAAGTGGGACGACTGGGCGTGAGCTAGTGACCAGGTCTGCTGGGCGGGCTTGAGGCAGTGACAGTCCTCTGCTTCCTGGCCTCACCTATGCGGCCACATGCTGGGTGGCAGGGCACCCCTCCAGACCAGAGTCCCTGAATGGTCACAGCACCTGGGCAGTCCTGGGCAGGGGCTTCTGACCACCTGGGCTGCGGACTCAAGACCTATCTTACCCCCCGCCCCCACCCCCCATCAAGACGAGCTCCTGGCCGCGGGCGAAGCTGGCACCTTCGACGTGGCCGTGGTAGACGCGGACAAGGAGAACTGTGCCGCCTACTATGAGCGGTGCCTGCAGCTGCTGCGCCCTGGAGGAGTCCTCGCCGTCCTCAGCGTAAGGGATAGACTAGGGGGAGAGCCCTCCTGGGCTGGGTCTCGGTCTTTTCCCTTGCCTCCTTCCTGTGCCCCGCCCCCATGCCACAAAGCCCCGCCCAGTGCTTTCTCCCCCTGGGGTCCTGTCTCCAGCTCTCACCCCTCCTCCTGCTTAGGCACCTCCTCCTCGGCCCTGTCCCTCCATGATGCCCCGCCCCTCCGCAGGTCCTGTGGCGCGGAGAGGTGTTACAGCCTCAACCGCGGGACACCGAGGCCCAGTGCGTGCGGAACCTGAACGAGCGCATCCTGCGGGACGCCAGGGTCCACATCAGCCTTCTGCCTCTGGGCGACGGCCTCACCTTAGCCTTCAAGATCTAGGGCTGGCCCCCCGAGAGTGGCCTCAAGTGAGGGGACCTGGGTACCCCAGACATCAACCCTGAGTTCTAAATTCGACAATAAAGTGGGGCCTGGGACAAGATCTTCTCAGCCTCCGTACGTGGCTCTAACGTGGGGTAGGGAGGGAGGGCCCAGCACTGGCAGGTTCTTCAGCAAAAGGGAGCCTTGAGGTCATAGGCGTCATCCCCTCCGTGGCACTGTCCTGACGACCACGTGGCACCAGGGCTAAAGCCTGAGTAGGAGCCTCCAGCTGACGGGAGGCAAGATATAAAGTTTTGATTGACCTGGCCACATACAGTTGCTCAGAGATCCCAGCTCTTCGGATTTGCCTCCACTCCACAGGATGCTGGCTAGAGCCCCGCCTTGGTCTCCCTCCTACTTAGCTTCCTAGGAGGGTCAAGTGAATGAAGCTCTCGTTTGGCGCAGCTGGGACTGGTTGGGAGACCATAGCTGGAGTCTGACAACAGGAAACAGACCCTACAGCTGACCAGGTTTGTGGCTGGGTACTTTCACAGGTTATGCTGGTTCTGCTATCTGCCCATGTTTTCACAGCACTGTCAGCTCGATCTCACCTCTACAGTGGAGGCTCTGGTCAGTGGACATCACTTCTGAAAACCAGGCCACTTGACTTAGACCTGAGGACCACGAGGTTGGAGTATATATCCTGTCCTCCCCCTGAAGTCCTGGAGAAAGGTGAGGGACTGAGTGGGATCACTGACCAGAAAGGTGTGAAGCAGGCCAACAGGTAGGAGACCATCAGTACTGCGGTTTTAAATAAGTTCCCCAGAGGAAGATGAAGATACGGTTAGGCTGTCCGGCACCAACATCTACGAGCTGAGGTGGAGGGAAGCCAGGTGCTTACTTCTCTCATCTAAACCTCCCTAATCCTAATCCCCTAGGAAGATATCTCCAGGCCACAGATGAAGTGTTCTTCCCACTAACACTGCCTCAGGCAGAAATGCCATCAGCCTAGAAGACAATCAGGTTTTGCCACCACTTGGTTAGGCCTGGGTGCTGCTATGAGGCTGGAGGCTACTAGAAACAAGGCCACAGGAGACCATAACAGGCAACTTTCTTAATCCTAAACTTCTTGGTACGTACATTTTAACCCACAGGGCTCTGGGTGTGAACCAACCCTTGTCTCTCCACACATTAAAGCCTATTAAGGTTGCACATGGGGAAGGGGTGCCTGGGTGGCTCAGTCGGTTAAGCTTCTGACTTGGGCCCAGGTCATGATCCCACGGTCCGTGGGTTTGAGCCCCGTGTTGGGCTCTGTGCTGACAGCTCAGAGTCTGGAGCCTGTTTCAGATTCTGTGTCTCCCTCTCTCTCTGCCCCTCCCCCATTCATGCTTTGTCTCAAAAATAAATGTTTTAAAAAAAAAAGATGCACATGGGTGAACAGGCCCAATTTACTCTTAAATAGATCTTTGACAAACTGGTAGCTCACTTGTGCCACACCCAGTCCTGAGTACTGGACCAGGTAAACACAACATGAGGGAAGGCCACTGGTTAAACTAAGGGGCAGCAGGTCATCCAGGAGGCTTCAGGGGTCGCCAGGCCTGTGACCAGTTCCTTCCCACCAAGCACCGCCAGCAGTTTCTCAGCGGTCTGCTGAGCTACTTCACACCTCTCCTGTGTATCCCAAAAGCATGAGGTGTTTTCACACCTAACTTGCAGACATCTTTTTTAACCTAGCAACAGTGTCTCTCAAATGGCTCAAATTCCAACTTTCTGCCATTAAGTCCTGTCTTATTCATACAGGCCACTTCTGCCAGTCCGTCAAGATGAACACAGTAAGATCAGAAAGACCCCTTGTTGTTTTTAGAGGAGAGCACGAATGGGGGGAAGGGGCAGAGATTGAGAATCCTAACCAGGCTCCACACTGAGCAGAGCCCAAGGCAGGGCTTAATCTATAACCTTGAGATCATGATCTGAGCTGAAATCGAGTCAGATGCCTGACTGAGCTACCCAGGTGCCCCAGAAGGAGCCTTGTTATCACCCCAGTGTGGAAAGTTTGCTTGGGTTTCTAATCTCTCATCAGATTCTTTCTGACCTAGAAATATTCAGCATGTATCATTTTTTGGGTAGTGAGTCTGAAAGTACTTACATTTCCTTATCTGTTCTCTCTCAGACTTCAAATGGTACACTGGGTCTAGTAGTTTCAATGTGAACAAATCTCTCCCTTCTCTTAAACTCTGATCACATTATTCAAACTATCTCCTCCCATCAGAACACTTGCTCTTTCCTACTATTCCAACCAGAATCACCTATTGATTTCTATCATTCAGTCCAAGTGCAGATTAAGGGCCAGTGGCCACAAAACCTGAAGGCACGGCTTCTGGTCTCACACACTTAAGCCCGACCCTTTCAGTCAGTGTCTGCCTAGAATGAAATGACTGACATCTGACCGAGGCCCACATATTCCCTTCTCAGTTCCTCTGGTTACAGACACCCCACTCCACTTGCCTACACCTTGTCCCATCCCACCTATGGCCTAGCTCATTTTTCACAGCGATAGCTTGCAGGGGTGTGGTGTATGTGGCTAACCTTCAGCACCATCCCTTCTTCCTTTCTTCATCACTTACTCTCCACTCCCTCCTGGGGTCAACAGTGATCCAATGGAATTTTGGACAAACTTACAAACTGAAGATATAAAGGCATATATCCTCTTATTTTATTGTAGTCCAAAAAGCTCATGGAGTTACTTTAGGGACACAGAGGACTTAATGGCACAGATTTAGGTAAAAAGCAAAATGCTCACCAGAAAAATAAAGTACTAACTAGATACAAGGGAGATTTGACCCTAGCTGGCAAATGTTTAACTCTGCAAATACTTGAGTCATTAGTTATGTATACTTGTTTTATTCATAATCTGTAATGTTTTGGGATACCAAAAGTAACTCTAATAGTTGAATTTAACAAAATTTTTTAACCTCATCTTAAAACTTCCACTGATCCATCTCATTCAATGGCAATTTTCAATGTTAATAAGAACATAAAAACAAACATGCACACAATTGCACAGTTTTCATAAAGGTCTATTTCATTATTGGTGGGTAGCGCATTTAACAGTTAAATACATTTAAATAATGTATAGGTGACTGCACGACTGCAGCATTGGTAACTAGATAGATAACCGATTCAACTAGAAACCAGCTAACAAGTAACTGTCTAAATATTTAAAATACAGCTCTTGTTTAGATCATCCTTTGTTTTGATCACCTTCTTGGGGGGAAAAAGCCTGCTGGTCGGTCACACTGGAAATATATTAAGGCCAAATCTTCTGATATCCATTCCCAGAGGTTTCTTTCAGCTAGATTAAGCCTCCAACTCCAGGGCAAGCCCAAGTTTGTGGCCTCCAGCATTAATGCTCTTCCCATCTACCAGAGCAGACAGTGTAAGCTTGACACCTGTAAACAAAAGCAGGCAACTATGATTTGTCTGAACACCTCGCAAGTCTGCAATCTTTAATAGCCTGCCTGTCCCTCCTCAGCCTGTCAGATGACCTACTAGTGCCAGACACCAGAGGGCACTTAGGAGTATCAGAGATACAAGAGAATTCAGAAAGTAAAGAGATAAAGTCACAGAGCATAAAAATGTTAATAAAGTTCAAAGTGCTCTAGAAAATATAGTAATATTCAATATGCTACAAAGGAAAATCATAATTGGACTCAGGAAAAGAAAACTACAATAGAGAAGTGGGGGAAACAGAATATAGACTACATGTATAGACTATTATGTATTGCTAAATTAATGTTAATTTCCTTAGCTGTGACAGTGGTATTGTAGTTAGGAAGAAAAATGTCTTAATCTCAGGATATGCATGTTAGGGCTGGCGTATCCACATGTCTACAAAACAAATAATTCTTAAAGGCATATAGAGAAAAAAAGGATTATGTATGCAGACATGGACAGAGAAAACACATGTGGTAAATGTTAACTGGTAAATGTGGCTAAGGGCATATGGGTGTTCTTCATACCATTCTTTCCTTTAGGTTTCCAAAAGGCGAAAATAAAGTCTGGGGGAAAATCCCTATTTGAAAGGGGGGGGGGGAATTCCAAGTGCTTTAGAACCTGCTATTCAAATGTGGTCCAAGAACCAGTAACACTGGCATCACACAAGAGCTTGTTAGAAAGACAGAACCCTTCATCCAGATCTATGGGCTCAGAATCTGCATTTTGATGAGTCCCCGGGTGATTCATGCACACTAAAATTTGGTAAGTACTGCTCTAGAAAACATAGCAAAGCTCAAAATAGTACATAAAGTAAACGAGACTACAGAGACCAAACAATGAAAGCAATGAGTTATGTCAGAGAGCACAACACTCCTGTTCTGAGTAGATGCATGCCGAAGCATTTAGGGAAGTGTCATGACAGCTCCAACTTCCAAACAGCCCAGCAAAAAAAAAAGAAAAAAAAAGGAATAAAAAAAACTGTGGCAAAAGATAAACATGTTCATTGTACTTTTTTTGAAAGGTTTACAAAGAAGCTGAGAAATAAAAAATAATTTTTGAAACACCATCAAAAAAATCCTACGTATCAAGAACACTTACCAGGCCTCAGAGTCTGAGTATAGCCCACTCCAATTAAACTAGAGTTGTTGACTTTTGCCTAAAATAAAATACAAAAACAGCTGTAAACTTTTTGAATCTCTGGAGAGACAAAGGCCCTCCAGGTTTCCCTATCATGCAATTATGAAGTGTTCTGCTTTTTTATTCACATGTGAAATACTAAAATTCAATATTGTTATTAAGCCAAACAACAGCCAGGTGCCACTTAATTCTTATCCATTAAACTCAAAGTCAGATTATCAGTAGGACCCAATTTTCTTCATTGTAAAAAGGTGACAAACAACCTCTAGGATCAAAACAGATTTGGAAATTATTTGATGTCTACACTCTTGTAATGTGTAACATCAAAACAGTCCAGTCCAGAGACAGAAATGATGTACCTACAAGCAAAAGTCACATAAACGGCACTTACATTCACTCGGCACGCAGCCAAGCCTTCACTAGCCACCAATGGCCAAGTGAGCTATTGGTCTTAAGAAAGAAATGCCCCACTAGTGACCATCTTGTGCC